AGAAGGGGCTGAGATGGCACGCAGCTGAAAGACACTGTGCAGAAAAACCCCACAAACTATGAGGGGGGGGGGGGCAGTGAGAAAAGCAGGGAGATATCGTTGTGGGGCGGGGGTACTTCAAAACAAGGAAGACTGTGATCGAGGAGCCGGCCAACAGCCCCCAAGGATAGCCAAGATGATCTGCACATGGCAGGGGCCCGCAGCACCTACTACATATAAGGAAATAAAGAAAGCCCCCCCCCCCCCCTTCGGCCACAATACTGACACAAACGGCAAATATTTGATTCAGAACCCCCCCTCTTCTCAGTCTCTTCACAAAGTCGAAATTCTACATGAGTCAAATATTATGTTAATGGGAATGAAACACTGCCCCCCCCCGCCGCCCTGCCAGAGGCACCGCTCGCTGTTGCCATGCAGATTACGCCCCGGCCCTCGGAGGTCTCCGCCCCCGATCCCACACTGCCTTTCCGAAGTTCCTGTCAGGCAAAGTTCTTAGGACAGATTAACGCGGCAGGATTAGGTGGGGTAATTAACCGGCCGTGTCCGCCCATTGTTTTGTGTTTGCCGGGTGAGGGGGGGGGTGCCCACCGGAGGCCCCCGCAGCATTAAATCAATTTCATGGCCCTTTATTGCAGAAGAGATAAAACCAATATTTAGCTTTCAATTTTTCTCAATTATTTCACCGGGGCCACTTCATCAATAGCCCCGTTTACGGGTGTCGGAGAGGCCCACGGCCGGGACAAGGACACATCTGTTCTTGGCTGGTCCCTCGGGCGGATTGAGGGGGGAGCACCCCCCCCCGCGCCTCCCGAACCGCGGACAGAGGGATTAGCTGCCCTTGTGTAGGGGAAAAAAACAGAGCGGGCAATAAAAGTCGAGCACCTACGCCTCCTCTCGCCAGACGCTGTGCTCCAACGGAAAAGCAAATGTAAACAGATTCCTTGCAGGATTCGGGGGGGGGGGGCAAGCTCTTCATTAACAACGCTGCTCAGAAATGAAGCCCCAGAGGGCGCTGCACACTTCCAAGGTGGCGCGATCGCTTCCGTCTCGCTCTCCTGCTCATACCGCCGCGGCAGGGCGACCGCTGTAACCTTTGACTTCTGCAAATTGAACTGGGGGGGAGGCAGGCAGAAAAAAGTGGCTGAAGTGGAGGAAACAAAGAGTAAGAGAATTCTTCCATGGCTAAGGGAGGGGTGGGGGGGTCTCTGCATGAGTCACCCAGGATGAAGGGCAGGCCGGTGCTGGCCGGAGGTCACTAGCTGGTGTCCTATCCCAGGTCTCCACTGTGCATCAGACCAACCTCTATATATAGCCGCCCCCCCCTTCCCTTCTCTTGCTCTCCATTACCCTGACTTTCTACCCCCCTGCCTCGATCCCTTCTCCTCCCTCCCTCCGCTGTCAGTGCCCCCCCACTGCGTTCTGCTCCACACAAAGATCCTCTGTTGTCTCCCAGTTCCACCCGTACTTTCTTCCTCCTTTGCTGTGTCACGTCCTTTTTTCAGGCAAAGCTCTTGGTTACCTACCCCCCCACCCAAGCCCCTCTTCTACTCTCCTGCCAGCGCCTCTTATCAGTCCATCAGAGAGAGAGAAAAAAAAAAATGCTTTCACGCTGTACACACTCCGCATCCGGCAACAAGGGCATCTGAGTCCAAAGTGTAGTAATGAAGCCTCGGCGGCCCAGAAGTCCACCATATTTTACCAGCGAGTGGTCGGCCGTCCGACCTGTCAACCGATACCAGAACCATTTGGATCCACACAATTAGATGGCTGACGTCCTAAGGACTGCTCTCAGCATGTTCCTAAGCAGTCCAGAACATCCACATAACGCCAGGGAACAAAACGGGTACAATCAGGTAAAGTGCAGCACAGGAATCCCTTTTGGGGGATGCGCCCTAACACACACCTGCAGGCGTGTTTGCCTGTAACTTGGGGACTGTGTGATCGAGCAAAGGCGAGCATCGCGCCCCCCACCAACATCAGGGGAAAGACCCTGGGGCAACCGAACACTGAGAATATAAGTAAAGGTACAGATACACTGATCAGCTTCCTGTCACACAAAAAAAAAACACTGTGCGAGATCCGTTGGGCCTTTTTCCCCAAAAGGTCTTGCTTCAGCAGTACCGGAGCTTGGCACCGTCTGAGCAGAGATGGCACCGAACACGGACGTGGCACCGAACACGGACGTGACTCCGAGGCGGCCCGGCGATCGCTGGTGTCCAGCTGTCTCAATCAAGCCTTTCATCTCTCATTAATATCCTGGCATTCTCTGGAAGCTTCCACAGTCACGATCACAAAAAAGAGCGTGTGGGGGGGGGTATCTCGCTCATGCAGGTGTGTGTGTGTGTGTGTGTGTGTGTGTGTGTGTGTATGCACACGCACATGTGTGGTCATGCCGGGAAGGTCGACATTACACAGGCGTCTCTCT